TTCAAAACATTAAATACCTGGAAAATTAACCTATCCAAAGAAATAAAAGACTTTATAATGAAAACTACAGTTCTTTTTAAAAAGAGATTGAAGAGGATACTAGAAAATGGAAAGTCATCCTATGTTCTGGATAGGCAGAACAAATATTGTAAAAATAGTAATATTACCACAAATGATATATAGATTTAATGAAATTCCACCCAAAATACCAATTGCATTCACCACAGAACTAGAAAAAAACAATTCTAAAATTTATTTGGAACCAGGACAGTCCTAGAAGAGCCAAAGCAATCCTGATCAAAAAGGGCAAAGCAGGGAGCATTACAATCCCAGGTTTAAGTTATACGGCAAAGCTACAGTAATAAAAACATCAGATACTCACACAAAATAGACATGTTAATCAATGGATTAGAACTGAGAATGCAGAAATAACCCCATGCACCTTTAGCTGCCTGATTCTTGATAAAAGAACCAAGAAAATAAGTTGGAGAAAAAATGGTGTTGGGAAAACTGGTTATCCACATGCATAAGACTGAATCTAGACCCTTCTCTCTCACCCTGAACAAAAATCAAATCAAAATGAATCAAAGACCTAGATATAAAAATAGAAACACAAGTCTACTGGAAGATAAATGGGTAACATTTATGAGGACATCAACATAAGCAATGATTTTCTGCACAGAACCCCAGTTGCACAGAACATAATAATGAGAACGAACAAATGGGATTACAGCAAATTAAAAGCTTTTGCACAGCAAATGGAACAACCAATAGTCGGAAGACAAAACCTACCCAATGGGGGAAAAATTTTGTCAGCTAATCCTCAGATAGAGCATTAATATCTAAAATATATAAAGAACTAAAAATATTAGACCTCCAAAAATAAAAGATCCAACCAAAAATGGGCAACTGAAATGAGTAGACACTTCTCAGAAGAAGTACAAATGACCAATGGATATAGGAAAGAATGTACAACATCTTTGGCCATTAGAGAAATGCAAATCAAAACAACTGAGATTCCATCTTATCTCAGTAAGAATGGTATCATCAGTGACTCAAGAAAACAAGAAAAGTGGACAAAGTTATGGGGAAAAAGCATCCCTTTTATACTGTTGCGGGAAATATAAATTCGTACAACTACTATGGAAATCAGTATGGAGATTGCTCAAAACGCTAAAACTAGAGATTCCATTTGACCTTGCTATTCCTCTTCTGAGTATCGTCCCAGAAGAGTTGGACATAATGTTACAGTGATACGTGTTTATAGCAGTATAATTCACAACAGCTAAATAATGGAAGTGACCTATACGACCATCAACAGTTGAATGGATAAAGAAAATGTGGTACATAAACACAATGGAGTACTACTCTGACATAAAGTAGAATAAATTTGAAACGCTTGATCCCTAGATGGATCTTAAGACCATAATTTAAGTGAAATAAATCAGACACAGAAGTATAAATATCACGTGGTTTCTCTTATATGAAAAATCCAAAGTCCAAATTTTTTGGTTTTTTTATTAGTGAGCATTTGTAGTACACGATGTTTTCATTCCATGTGGGGAATTGGTACATGTAGATAGCACGTCTCAATTCCCTTTCTCATATTCTTTTCCTCTCCTCCCTCCCGCCTCCATCTCTTGATGCCCTTCTTCTTTGAAAAAGACCTATCTTCCTATTTACTATTATCTATCCTTTATTTATACTGTGGGTAAATTAAAGAGCAAAATAAAAGATGAAAGTAGGAAACAGGGACTTTTTTTGGCACTGGAATAGAGACTTGAAGAGGGGGAAGGGAGGACAGGGAAGGGAAAGGAATAAACGTGATTGGGCTACAGTATGTAAATGTATCAATCCCCCAAGCTGTGTGTAAATATCATATATATTTATACATATATTGTGTGCAAAGATACACATAAAGAAAGAAAGAAAGGTGTGTTTCTTCACAAGGACTTCTTCGTGGATGTTCAGAACAGGTATATTTGTAATCACCAAGAACTAGGGGAGAAAGTGGCAATATCTGCTGCCCATGATAAAATATGAGTTCAAATGAAAAGTTGGAATTTTGGGAAAGTAATAGCCTCCACTGTGAGCTGATGCCTCAGTTTGCTCATGCTGCTATAATACAATACCAGAGACCGGGTAACATTTCAGTAGCAAAAGTTCACCTCTCATAGTTTCAAAGGCCGGGCAGCCCGAGATCAAGTGCCCACAGGTTCAGTGTCTGCTTCTAGGTGGCTCCGGGGTGCTGTATCCCCCGTGGTAGCATGTGACAGATGCAACGGTTCGGACCTGGAATGTTCCTAAAAGCACATGTGTCAAAGGCTTGGGCCTCAGTCCGTGGTGCTGTGGCAAGGTGGTAGTGACTGGCTCCTGAAGGGGGTGGGGACCCCAGGCCTTGCTTCCCTCTCTTGCACATGAATGCTGAGCTCTGCCATGTGCTCCCCTCCAGGATGTGCAGCTTTGCCACAGGCCCAAAACAATGGGCCAACTGATCATGGCCTATAGCCTCCGAAAACCTGAGCCCAAATTAACCTTTCCTCTTGGTGCACTGCTTCTCTGGGAATTTGTTGTCGTGACAGAGAGCCGACTAACACAAAGGGCCAAAAAGAGCCTCGCTAGCTCCCTCCTTTTCATAAGATCTCCAGTCCTCCAAAGCCCCACCTCTTGATACTGTTGCTTTGAGGATTAAGTTTCAACATGGATTTTGGAAAGGGACAAAAGCATCTGAACCTTAGCTGCTGGTTTCTGATCCCCCTTCTCCACGAGAAGCCACCACTTGATGAGTTCCAGTGTCCTGAACAGGATATTAATGTGCTCCTCCTTTGTCCAAGTCCATGTCTGAACGAGGATGGAATTTTCCTTATGCTTTGAATACCAAATGGCAATACAGTGAATGCAAACAAACATGAAAATTTACTTTGCTTGCTAGTAAGTCAGACAGTGAAGACATTTGTAAACATATGAGAAAATGTCATTTTTTTACTGCTATTTTTCCTCTCATCAATTTTTATATAGCCATTTCCATTTAAAATATTATTTATGTCAATATATATTAGTTCTATTACTGTGGTTTAAAAATCAACAAATAAATTTATATAACATTTCTAGATTTCAATTTCTAATATGGAAACTGGCACTGGATATGGTCCACATAAACAAAAACCCTTTAGAGTCCTCAATAATTTTTAACAGTATAAAGAATCCTTTTTCAAATTTTGCTTCTGCCATTTACCTACTGCGTTATCTTGGACAAGTTACTTTAAGTTCTTTTTGCTTCTGGAATAGAAGTAATTTTTACCTATCTCATAAAGTAGGTTTTGAGGATTAAGTGCAGATTAACTTCTCTAAAGGGCTTAGAACAAGTCCTGACTCCACCAAGAGCTGTATCAGTAAAGCAGTGATGACAGAGACCCTCACATGCACTATCGTGTGGCAGCCGGTGGTCCTGTGTTCCCCACCCAGCTGGGAGGCCCCCCCCAGGGAAAGGTGTCTGCAGTGCCTCTGGATGCTGGCACAAGGCTCAGTGTATCCCAGGAAGCTGTGAAGCTTAATAAATAAATGAATGTGAAGTTGGGAGAGAGCAGGGCAAAACCGGGCTAGATTCCGGGTAGATAATCAAATTTATGTAAAGGAAGTTCAATTACAAGCAGTTGCCTAAGACCGGAAGGGTGCACGGGAGGACCAGCCACCAGGAACTGGACTGACATGGTAGCGCATAGGGGTGACAGAGAAGGGTCCTGGTTGTTTGGAGTGATTTTGGATGGGGTGCCCTCTACCCGCCCCGCAAGATGCCGTCTAGCACCTGCTGAGCAGATATGGAAGGCTCCGTGGACACGGGGGTGGAGACGGCTCCACCTGCTGGCGGGGCCGTGTAACACAGCCCCACCTGATTCTTCGTGGCTGATTACTGGCGTCTCTGCTTGAGATCAGAGCTGAAAAAAGGAAAGAAGGTTGGAGCATAAAATATCAGCCGTCACTAATTTTTCAAATCTACATTTTAGCTGAGTAGGTGTGTATTTGACCATCTCATCCTTGTGAATTCTAAGGTATTTTGGGATGTTCAGGAAGGAAAAGAAAGAAAAGCTATTCAATGTCAATTCCAGGGCAGATGTGTTATTTAGGCTTTCTCATTTAAAACTCTGAACCGCTTAGGAAGGAAAGCAGTATTACCCCATTCTGCACAGGAAGAAACTGAGGCTTGTGGTGTAAGTAAAATCTCCAGGAGCCCACTGGGAATCAGTGGCCCGCTGGGATTTGAACCCAAATCTGTGAAAGTGCAGAATCTACTGTCCAAAAAAGCAAGTTCTATTTTAGTTTTATTACTTAAGTAATGCATACATCTTGTCTACAAATGAGAAAATACAAATGTAAATGAGATAAACAAAAGTAAAAAGCAAAAACCACCCATAAACTTTACCAACCAGATATAAGAACTGGTTTATTTTTCCATATTTTTCCCCATATATGTATTTGCAGCAGGCTTTTCTGCTCAAGAATATATCATAAACATAGTTTTGATTCTATAAAATGTATTTCTCTATAATTTTACAAGATTGTCTAGTACTTCATTATATGAATGTACTGTTTATCTGACCAGTTCTCTGTTGTCAAATATTTAGCTTATACCTTGCTTTTCACTAATGTAAAAAAAATTCTGCATCCTCATGACTTAAACTTTGTGTATATCTTTACTTCCTTGGGATACATTTTCAGAAGCAGGACTGATGATTTAAAGTGTATTTTGGTGTTTAAGACATTTCAATATAATATAAGCTATTGCCAAAATTGCTCCCCTATTTCCCAGCCCCTTCAACAAGTGAGTATAAAAAAACTTTGCCAGCTGCATCATCACATATAAAATAGTTGTTTTAGTAAATTCATGTTCTTGCAATTCCACATTCTTGCCTCAAGATCCGTTTTGAGTAATGCTGTCCACTGGGGTGTACAGTGTTAACATGCTGCTTGTCCCAGGTCACAGTGCCCTTTGCCTGTCTGAGCCATGGCCAGGGAGCCAGGTGAGAGGGAAGATGCAGGTCTGCCTTTGGTCAGGCCATGGGACAAAGGGACCCAGAGGGCTGGGGTGCTGGTGAAAGTGGCTCAACTGCACAGGACTCACAGGGACTGTGGTGACCATTCCAGATGAAGAGCTGGTGCCAACCAGTCCATCAGGGCAGGTGAGGTCTGTTGCCAAGGGAGGTGGGCAGGCATTGCAACATGGGCAGACAGTAGGGAAACAGATGTCAACTCCTGCAGGGACAGCACTGGGAGGAATCTGGGAGAAATGGAATTTCAAATGTAAAGAAAAGTGCTTTTCGTGGGAGCTTTGTGTTCTACCCAAAGTCATTGAAGGGCTCAGCTGCCAAAGACTCACAAGTTGGCATTCATGCCCTCGGTGAATTCTGCATAATCCTGCATACTTTTACACTTAGACATCTACTTTATGGTTAAATGTATCTAGCGGGTTACCTGTGACTCAAGGGAAGCCTCTCAGGGGTTGAGTATACTCAAGAAATTGGAAGAGGTCTCAGAAATGAAATTGATAACTTCCTAGGTCAAATTTGCAGGGATGGGATCCTTCCATTACCATTGGCTTTTTCTCTGAATGCAGCCTGACTATGAGAAAAACTAAATACTGTGTAAGTTGTGTGTGTATGTGTGGAAGCATGAAATAGGAACAAGGGGAAATGGGTGTATGGAGTGTCTCATGGTAGCTGAATAAGATATCTCAATCACTGCATAGCGGGGGCAGTCTTCCATCGGGCTGTAATAGTACAAATTGTTTGACTAAGTCTTTTGCACAGGCAGTACCCCTTCATCTCTCTGTCTCTCTCTGTCTTTCTGTCTCTGTCTCTTCTTCTCTCTCTTCAGGATTGAATTCAAGGCTTTTGCACTGGCTACAACCTGAATCCTTCTTATGCTTTTGAACTTGTGATCCTCCTGCCCAGCCTTTCATAGTGCTGAAAATGCAGGTATGGGCAAGCCTGGATGTGGTGTTTTGTTTTTAAAGTTAAATTTAAGATGATTGACCAACCCCCCTGCTGTGTGACTCAGCTTTCTGTAGAAATACTAACGTAGTCTTAGAGGGAAACTCAGGTTTTTCTGCCTGGGAACCTTCTCTGTCCTCTAGGTGCCTTTGTACATCTCTGTTCTGACCCACTGCTTCTAAAGGCCAGCTCTGAATGCAGCCTGAGCTCATTTACTTCCTCACGGAGCCCGATTTCTCCTGTTTGCCACTTGGCATTCCCATTCTGCCCCAGCTTGTGTTGGTGCTAAGACTTTAGACTCCAGGACTGGATTTGATGAGAGCTAAGGCCTAATAAGGAAGTTGGGGACCAGGCAGGAAATCTCAGGCCACAGGGGCACCTAGGGGCCCAACAGAAGTACCATGAGCACCTTTGCCCAGGAGCCCAATTTACTGTTCCCCAACCCCAGTTGCCTATGCCAGGGCTTCTCAAGGCCCGAGTTAGTGTGAGACAGAATACGTTGCCATAGTTGGAGAAAGGAGAAGACTTTGAAGGTGGGTACTGACAAATGTAAGGATTAAAGCCAGCAATTGTCGGAGCCTGCACTGTCCACACTTACTGCCTACATTTAGGCATGGATGGAGCAGAGTCCTCCCTCACCCTGTGAACTGTCCATTATTTATCCTCAACTTGATTTTTCAAAGTATGTGAAAGTAGTTTACTTTCAAAGACACCTTCAAAAGAAGAAATAAAGTACATTTCGAGGAGAACCACGTCCCAAAGAGAAGAGAAAAGTAGGACACATGAGGTGAGGGACACCAAAGATTTTAATAATTTTTTCCACTTGCTAGGGGGGATCCATTTGGACCTCATTTTTCTAGTAGTCAAGAGATAAAGGGGTTCATGAAACCCATTCTCACAGCCGGTATGTGTGGCTCTTCTTCTCCAAGAAGATTGTCCTCATTGTCTAAGGGCATAAAACTCACATTCTTAGATGTATGGATATTTCTTTCCTCTCTATGAATTTGTCTTATTTTACTGTGGGAGTGTGAGATTTAGCAGATGCAATGTGGAAGTCACATAGGCTGGGTTCCGTCCACTGTCCAGACAGAGGCTTCATGACGTAGGAAGTGGTTAAACTTCTTCAAACCTCAGAAAAGTGCTGAGAAGACACTGAGGGAGAATCATTCTGGTCTGTGGGTGTCAGGGTAGGCAACCTTATCTGCTCCTCTAATTGCTAATATGTGGCAGATTCCTGTCTGGCCAACTTCAAGGATCTTTGGCAAAGGAGGCTCGGAAAGGTTCAGGGGCTGTCAGGGACTGCATAGGCATTTGCAAGGACCTCAGCCTGGGCCTTCCGGCTTCCAAGCCCTGGCTCTTCTCCCTCTGCATCTGGATTTTCCCCAATGCCCCATTCCAGCTGCCTGCCAGAAAAGGTTTCTTCATAAAGGGCCACAAGTCAGCAGCAACGTCACAGTTGAAAGACAAGTACCTGTTTGTCCTGATGTTTGGCACGTTTGCTGTGCATGTCCTTTTCTAGGCTGTTCGGAGCGTGGAGAACCAGGAGGGAGTCTCTGGAGAAAGTGGCTCCTGTTGCCCCTCATAGCAGTGAGCCATTGGGAGAACTTGAACTGGAGCCTACTGAATGCGGGCCAGGACCCTGGCTTTGCCAGGCAGATTCTCTGCTCTCAGGAGCCAACTTTGATGTAGAAACCTTTCCACGAGGCCTCTAGAATGAAGGCAAATGTGAGCAGAAGCTAGACGGGGCCTCAGAAGATCTCTGTCTCTTGGAACATGGACGAGGAAGTGGTGTCAAGTCCTCTGGGCATGGGGCAGTGGGGCAGGATGGGCCTGGCGCTAGGGCAGCCACTGTGGGGACTCAAGTTCTTTTGCAAGTCAAAGTTCACTTGGCCTCAGGATCTCTTTGGGCTGCCTGGGTGTGTGGATTCAGACTAGAAGAACATCTCCCTGGCTGTAGGCGTGCAGTGGCTACTAGCTATTTTCCACTGCAGCAGCCAATGTGGGCTGGGTTTGGAGGCCCTGAGCCTTGCAGATGCCAAGTGGGGAAGAAGTCCCAGGGGCAGAGTCCTGCGGGTCTGTGAGCCACTTTGGGGAGGTCCAGGACCACCGAGGAGGCAGAAAACAGTACAAACCTTAAAATTTTCTTTTCTCACCCAAAGATGAGAAATTACATAAACAGGACCAGATTCCGACTAGGAGCACTTCATCCACGGCATTAATTATCAATCAGTCACTAGGCGGAGTGTGGGATGTGTGAGTATGGTGCTCTGTGACAGTCACACAGAAGCGAAGACAACAGTGGCTTGGAGGGAGACAGAGCCTAACAAGAGGAGTAGGCTCTCCCGGGCTTCCTCCAGACCAAGGGGTTTGAGCTTCATTTGCCACACAGCCCACAGGAAAGCTCTGCCAGCTTCTCACCTGGCGAACAGCAGGCCTCTGGACACTTTGGTGGGTACATTTGAGTAGACCAAGCCTGGAAGTAGGCAGAACCCAGATTTTGGAAACATCCAGGGACATAAGAAGGGCAAGCAGCAGTTGAACTGTTGGAGGCCACGCAATCCAGGAAACACAACTGACAATCGGCTTCCATAGGAACCTGGAGTGAGTTTTCCCTTAGAATGACACATTTTCTTTTCTTTCTTAAGCCTCCTGGGACTTCTTTTGGGAATCATGGAGGTCTCTCTGCTCGGAAAGTTCAGGGGATTCATGATATCTTTCTCATCAAGTGGGGTGGCAGTGGCTGCTCTCCTCAAGAAGGAAGGGCACCTTCTTCACCCTCAGCTCTGCTCACTCTCTTTATGTTCATGAAATTGGGTGGCTTCATGGGCATGTTAAGGGATGCAGTTGACAGATGGTAAGATTCCCGGGGCCAGCTGCGATAGAAGAGGTGCTCACCCCACAAGGATAAGGCTGAGAGAAGAGAGCCCGGATGTAGTTAGTTGGGATGTAATCTCAATGTCTACTGATGAGCAGAAGGTGTGGAGGGTCAAGTCCGCAGGACAAGGTAAATATGTGAACCGTGAAGTCAGAATCTGGGAGCATCAACAGTGAGGTAGAATGAGACTGAAGGAAGAGACAAGGACAAATGGTGCAGGACAAAGGACATGGAGAGCAAGGTGGTCCCATGTACTAGGTTCAGCCATTGTTGGCTTAGTGGATCCACGAAGAACATTGGAGTAAAACATAAATTTGAATCAAGAATAAAAGTCCAATAGTATTTTAGACAAAGACAGAGCAAAAGTAAGTAATGAAAGAAAAACAGATGTCCAGCAAAAAGCAGGGGGGTGGGAAAAGGATAAGTGTCTTTTAACCACTGGTGTTAGTAGACTCATTGGCTGGGAATACATTGCTCTTACATATTTCAAGCATCCAAGCACCATGCCCTTCCAGACGATACTGGAAGGAACAGAAAGTGTAGGCCTAATACAGTAAGCTCCAAGAAGGAGACGCTAGAGGCATTTTATGAAAATGTGTAAATTCAAATGAACCTCCTTGAGACTTCCCAAAGACTATATTTTTCTCTTGATGAGGCAGAAGTTTCCAGCCACTGTCTCAGCATAAGCATTTTTATGACTCCTCTGCCATTTGCACTGAAGTAAGAGCTGTTTTCTAGATGAGTCCATCTATTTTGGCCAGTTGTAACCTGGACCAGGAGGGCAGTGGTCTGCTACCTTGAATGCATTCTTTGGCTCTTGTGATCACCAAGGCTGACTGACACTGCCCGGAAACCTCTGTATTTGGGAAGAATCATTGTGTTCTTAAAGGAGGTGGCACGCCTCAGGGGCCACCGTGAAGACTGGCATGTCGCCTGTGGTTCCCATATTTAAATAGGAGACCGTTAGGCTCTGGGTTTGTATGTAAGCAAACTGAAGTCTATCTCAGAATTTAGAAGAAAATGAAACTTAAGCTCAGTCAATCACAGATGGCCAGGTGGGCATCAGTTATATAGTCATGAACTTCCTACTGGGATGATCCAAATAAGGGAGCTGCTCAAACTTCAATGACAAACATGCTTTGTCCTGTTCCCACATTTGTCCTATATAATTCTTCCCTTCCTGCTGCTTTGGTGGGGCTTCTGAAACTGTCATCTGGAGCTGCCCAATTTGTGAGTTGCTGTTTGCTCCAAGAAAAGTCTTCAGTATTTTATGTGCCTCAGTTTATCTTTTAATCCTATGCAAGGGTACCTCGCTGAGGGGGTGAAACACAACCCAGCCTCAGCTTGCTAAGCCAAGTGCCCTGACCTGATGGAAGGGCTGCCTTTTATTAATCCGAATTAGAACACCATACATATCAGAGCTGGCCTTGTCTTGACCGATAGCTACACCTCGTGAATGATATTATCCACCAATCATATTTGCTATTCCTAGCAACCTAGTGGGTCAGAGGAAGACTGATGTTTGTGCTCCCAAGGTTGGTGGAGGAGCAGGAAGACTGCAGAATCTAACTGGTTTATGGGGGTATTCTCTTGGTTTGCCAGAAATTGAATCCATTGAGCCATAGTCTACCATACTTCCCAACAGCAATTTTCCTTCTCCAGCCTCTGATTACAGGAATTCTCAGCAAGCAAACCTGTGACTCAGAGGTGGTGCCCAGCTATGATTCTGGGGTATCCTGGGAAGGGGATCCCAGCTCAGCAGAACACAGAGTAGCATGCAGTGAAAAGGCTTCCCTCTTGGAAACACAGTACTAAGCCCCTACTGGTGCACATCGGGGGTGTCCTCACTGAACATCTGACACAATTTTTATTCGGTTCTCTAGCAACTTTGGGGTTTTTATTCTTTCATGGTGAAGATTGGCAATGGGATGGGCGAGGATGGGGTGGGTTTGCAAAATATTAATGAATGGAATCTGTGCCTTTTCCTTGACCCAACTTGGCCAGCTGCACTGGGTTGAAATTCTGCATTCCATTGTTCTCCTTCTAAGAAAACAGAACTGACTCTGTTTAGCCCCAGGAATTGCCTGTGTAGGCTTATTTAAGAGAATTTGCAAACCAGATGGATTTACTGTTTACTGTCAAAGGGAAAAGGATTATTTCTGAAGGCCACCGCACCATGATCAGAATGGTTCCCCACCCATGGTTCTCTTGCTTTCCCATCTGTGTGCTGGCTCAGTAGGACATTCTCTCTCCTCCCTATCTGCGTGCACTTCTTATGCATACCAGCCATCAGAGTTGGCTATGGAAATTACTACTTAATTTCTTTCTCTACCAGCTACTGGCATATTACAGTGTTGAGGCTCTGGTCACCACTTTGTATGGTGCTGTCCACCCCACTGTCCTGATCACAGATGTTAAGACTGTGAATATGAACCCACTCAAGTCCGTCTCTGGGAATTTGGAAACTGGGACAGTGAAAGAGATAGTCTTTCTTTCGGCCATTGACTCTGGATAGTATAACCATGGAAGGTGCGGCTAATTACGTCTTCTATCACTGGAGAGGACAGGTTCAGGAGCAAGTTTAAGCAGAGGGAGGAGAATGAAACACATTTCAGAGAGAAACAGAGTTTGATGATGGAAGCAGTGATCCCTCTCTGGATTAAGAACCCTCTCTATTCAAGACCTAGTTATGTCCCTTCTTTTAAGCTTAGAAACATGCCCCTACATTCTTATGATAAAATGCCCCCTTATTTCCCCTTAAGTTATTTCTAGTTAGTTTCTGTTAACTGCAATCAATAATGTTTTCTGATACTTTAACTGAATGATTCTTATGATTAATATAATCATCCTCTTTGAGAAACTTGTTAGAAATAAAAATTCTCATCCCCAACCTAGTGAGTCAGAAATCTGGGGATGAGGTCCAGAAACATGTTTTTAAAATCCCTCCAGGTCAAGTTTGAGAATCCTTGACCTTCCTGGCTAGAGTCGTGGGTGAAAAGAGCAAGGACAAGCCTGGATTTAAGCCTGCCTGGGTGCAGACACTGATTATGTAATTCTGAGTAAGTGGCGTCATCACCAGGTGGAGACTCAGGCTTCTCAGTGGAGAAACGGAGGGTCATGATGTCTACACTACACAGAAGCTGTAAGAAAAGGACGCCTCTCTGAGCTCTTAGAGAACATCAATTTGTTTTGTCTCTGTGGACACTTCCCTGACACTGGACAAGAGGTGGTGTTGGCCCAGGAGACACAACCTGAGATTTTGAAAACAATCCAACACTTCAGCAGAACTGGTTGCTTTTCATAGCTCATCTCTAATCAGCACTCCAAGGCCAGAGCACTGGTGCCGCATTACCCTGACTATATGACTGGGTGGCTGGGACTTAAGCCCGGTAAATCCAAAACTCATTTTGATCCCTCAGATTTTGCTGACCTGTTTTTCTACTCTGTGGTTAAAAAGCAAAAACATGCAATGTGGACCTCCCTAGAATAAAACATGGAAACCAACTTGTCCATCTTTTAGGAAGGAAACCAAAACCTTCCATTTTTTAGTTTGTTCACTGATTGATTCACTCATTCATTCATCTACCCCCAAATCTCATTGTGGTACTTCTTGCTGTGCACACGATGTTAGACGATGGTGATTTTTAGCTAAGTCCCCGTGTCCTATTTCATTTCTGATAATTGCTGACATATAACAAAACAGTATTAGCTGAACATGGAGGAAGAAAATGGTCTGGGCATGAGGGTTGTGTAGTCAGATCTATCTTGCTGCAGCAAAAGGTGGAAGTTAGGAAGTGTGAGGCTTGAGAGTCAAAGCTGGTAATAGAATGAAAAGGTTAACAGGCAACATCTGCTTTGGTTTCAACAGCATACCATTCTGTAATTAACAGCAGCAGATGTTTTGCAAGGAACTCCCAGTTCTTTGGGCCCCATTTGAACTGAACTTGATGGGTGACCCTTCAGCAGGTAGATTCATTTGCCAAATACTCTGGTGTTCCTCTACAAGGGGGTGGGTGGCTAGCTCTCCTTAAAAAAAGAATTCTGTGTCTGACACTACTTGACAGCAGAACCCATCCACCCCTTTGTGAACTTCTGGTATCCAGAAATTCCAGCTATCTTCTGAATGAATCTCCACCCAGGTCTTGGCTTCCATATCGCTGAAGCTTCCAGTTGTATGCAAGATGGGGCAAAAACATTGAACTCCTCCCCAGACAGCTCTTTGGGGAAATTTGTCCAATCGGATGCTTCCTCAGACATAGCCGGTAGGGGAGTCTGGGACTCTATTTCAGATTCAAAAGAGATGTCGGGAGTCTGGAAGAGAAGACAGCTATTCGGTGGTTGTGTTAACTACTGCCTCATATTTGAAGAATGGTTTTTCTGTTTGCGTCAATCACAAAATTCCTTAATGAAAGTCAAGTTGTGTCTTTCTTGTTCCCAGACTTTATATAGAACAACAAAAATAATGACTAACAACTTCTATAGGGGTAGTTAGCATCCTTAACCTTGTTTGGCCCTTGCCTCTATCCCAAAGGAGTCAGCTGATTATAATCCAACCATACATGTTAAATATATTTGAAGGGGGAAGGAAAACAGAGTCATGGAAGGACACCGGGCACTTTGGCCATGCTCTGTGCTGGGGATTACACGAGGATACTTTACCTGGGCTCTGCTAGATAGTTTACTCGTCCAACTCACCTTGTCCCCGTTCTTAGCTCACCTGAATGTGAAATGACATCCCAAGCAGGGCCACCCACAGGGAGAGACTATACTGGCTGAGCCAAACGAGGATGACCCTTCCACGTGAGGGTAGCTTCTTAATCTCAGTGCACAGTAAGTGACACAGGGGTTACATGGTTTCCAGGAAATTAGCTCTGACTGCTTAGGAGACAAGTGCTTAGTGCTTGGTTTAGGAGACAAGGGTCAGCTCTCAGGGTTAACAAAACAAGGTTCCTGACCCTGTGAAACTGCAGGATAAATCTGAGTCAGCAAAGGGGTGAATAAAATGCCCTCATGCTCCTGAGCTGCGTCTTGGAAGACAGAATGATCTCCCGCTTTCCCTGGCAGTCTGTTTTCTTTGCGTCTGCTAGGAAAGCCTGCAGAGCCCATTACCGTTCTTGCAGTCCTGGTCTTGTTCTTAGACGCTGTCATGGCAATGTGTCCAGGCCTCATGTCAATTCCTGGCCCAAGTCACTTTCTGACCACCCAGTCGATTCAAAAGCATCACCTAGGAAGGTGCGGAAGCAGGCAAGACGAGCGAGACAGCACCCTTCTCGTCTATGTGGATCATCTCAGAGGAGGGGAAGACAGGTGCATGAGTCACTGCGATAATACCAATACTACCAGCGTCTTTCTGTGTTCCTCAAATGCATCAGCCAATATATAAAACAGTATACATATTATTATATATAAGTATAATTTATTTTCAATTACGTTTTGTATAAATTATACTTTATCTTAATATATAAAATTTATTTTTCACAGCAGTAGATGAAAACCTTTTGAAAAGATGCAGTCTTGGCAAGCAACTTGCTACATGGCATAAAGCTAGTAAATGGCAAGATATAGATTTGAGCCCCCGGGACAAGCCGTGGAAAGATTATTATTGAAGTTCCAAATGGATGAGAGTGTGGGGCATGGGGCTGACATTGTTCTGCTAATTTCCACTCATTGCTTGGTTCTGCCCTGGGAGCTCATCAGAATTAGAGCCCCAGGCAAGGGGAAGAGCATCAATGCCTTCACTGGTAGAAGAGTGACTTGGACAAATTAGTGGACCCAACTGGGAGTCTCAGAGTAATAAGAATTGACAGTGAGGCTCTAAGAACCATTTTACATTTTAGAATTATAATGCAAATTGTGCCTCTGTCTCATACAATGCGGTAGACACTGACTACACTATTTTGGCTGGAATTTTAAAAACCTAGTCTAGTTACACCAGCTTTCTCTTTGTGCTTCATGAGGTCTCCTTCATTGGTAAATATCACTTCTTTTTTGAAAAAATTTTTTTGCAGTGCTTGGGATGGAACCCCGGGCCTAGGGATATAAGGACAAAAAAGACCCTTTTCCAACTTTAAGAAATCTGTCATCAAACAAGGCTTAATGGCTCACGTGTATAAGCCCAGCACTTGGGAGGCTCAGGCAGGAAGATTAAGAGTTGAAGATCAGCCTGGACTAGGTAGCAAGACCCTGTTTAAAAACAAACAGCTACCATTACAAACCATTCTAATAGTAGGGGAATATTTGTTTTTCAGGTGCTGGAGAGCCACCGGAAGGTTATATGCTGGGCGCCTCCTGTGGGAAGGCTGGCATTTGGAAAGACCTTGACATTTAGAAGGCCCCAACCTAGGACTGGCATTTGGAAAGATCCTCTTGGCTGCAGTGTGGAAGCTGGCTAGAGCCAGGCCCGGAGGGAGGCAGGAAGCCAGGAGGCCAGCACAGAGGCCACAGGGTGATTCTAGCCAGAGATGGGGCGGCCTGAACCTGGACAGAAGTTGAGAAAAAAGATTTGAGGAGTCACTGGCTAGGCAAACTTTCTCATGAGCTGCTCCCTAGAAGGGACATAGATAGCACAGCTAATCAAGCGCCACATCTGTGGGCAAGGGCTCTGCACCAGGTGAATGCTTTGCCACATTTCCGATTCCAGGAACCGGCTGGAATAACAGGAGATGCTCACCTCCAGGAGCCTGGCTGCAGGACTACTTGGCAAGACGAGTCCTCTGCCGAATGGAAAGTCCTGCTGTTGTGCTTCAAGTGAGCTTCCCTTGGAGGGCTCGCTGCCCAGGAAGTCAGTGCGGGGCTGCAGTGTGGAAGGCTCAGGACCAGAGCCTGGCTGCTTTGAGTGGGAGCCAGCTGAGGCTGTGCAGGGGGACCCGAGCATGCTTCACGGCCACTCTGGGCTGCATTGAGGAGAAGACACTGTGTTGGTGGGAAACGCTGCTGTCTGTCCTGGGCAGTGAACAGAGAAAGGCCTAGGAGCTAAAACAGCTGCTCTGTCACTTGGGCTCCTGCTAACCCTAGGCCACTGAACTGGCTCTGTGTCCTTATCTGAAAAATGAAGATCTACATAGTACACCTTCGAGAATAAGCCACATGAAGAAAGACTGCTAGTACTATGCGCAGGGCCTTATAGGAAGGGCCAGTTATTGGTTGAAGGGTCATGGCTGTCTAACAACCATAACTCCCAAGAGGTTGGGGAGGTGGAGAGGAGACAGAAGGCCAGCTATCAAATGAAAGGGCAAGCAGAGAATGAACTTACCCTGGGGCAGGCATGGTGGCGCACGCCTGGGACCCCAACACTCAGGAAGCTTAGGCAGGAATATCAATGTCAATTCAGGTATAGCCTGGGCTACACAGGGAGTTCAAGACCAGCCAGAACTACCTATTGAGACCTCATCTCAAAAAACAAACACAAAACAAACTAACAAAAAGAATAAACTTACTACAATAAAGGCATGCTTACTTTATCCATCCAGTTATCTAGGATAAAGATGGCTCCTGAGTACTTGTTCACCAAATGTACACAGATTAAATCTTCTCAATGACTCAATCCTGGAAGCATCTTCTTTGAAAGTATCCCAGGGGGAGTCTTTTGGGGAGCTTGGTGCTGCTGCTGTTTACCCTGTAATGCACAGGGCTCTTAAGTGGGAAGAGGCACTTCCTTTGTGGCTGTTCAGGGTGGCTTTCATGCTCTTTCCTCTTTGTGAGACTGAATTGTTTATTGAACCCCATCTTCCAGCAGTGCCTTATAAATGATCTTGGATGTTTGAATACACACACTATCTCACTGGCTCATCGAGCAATCTAGAATTGTAGATGAGAGCTAAGCTCACGTCCCTGTTTTACAGGTGGGGAAGCTGAGGCTCGGAGGGATAACATAGTTTGCTGAGGTCCCACAGCTGGGAAGAAAGGGATTTAGAATCTGGACCCCGCTGGTCTGACTCTCAGACTGGTGATTATTCTTCTCCTCTGCTGTGAGCTCTGCCCAGGGACTTGCTGAGCCCAAGTCCTGGCCGGTGTGGGAAAGGCAGGCATGGACGACCTCGAGGGTGGGGGAGCAGTGGTGTTTCACTGAGCAGGGGTGTTCTCTGAGCACTGTGGGTGTCTTGTCACGGGAGTATGTAGGATCCATGCTCAGGCAGGAGACTCCCTTCCTTTGCTCTCCACCTGGGCTGTGTGGGAAGGAATTCTGGGTCACAACCACCATCATTAGAATATTAATAACATGTTCTTGGGAGAACAGCCTAGATGTCCTCCCACCCAGCTCGGCACCAAATTCTTGGTGTTAGACAAAGGGCTCCTCGAGGATTAGCCAGACATTCCTCCCAAGCCTCCTCACAACCTCTCCCAGCCTGCCACCCTCCCCCTCAGAGCCTGGCACTGTTGGACGGGGACATCTGGGAGCTTGAGGGCCACTGCCCAGCTGCGGTCAGACATGGAGCTCCCTCTTGGCACCCAGCTGGCTCTCACCAGCCAGTTTCCCTCCTCACACATGATTTTACAAAACCAAGACGCGCTTTCTCACTGGCCTCACAGGGAGGTCGGTCTGGCTTTGAGTTCAGGTGCCACCGTCTGGGGAGATGGGCTGTGGGTGGAGGGGCTCAGGGAATCCTGTCTGAGAGGATGGCTTGCAGGCTGGGCTCAGTGAGGAAAAGGGGAGGCACAATACAGAGGGAGGGAAGAGCAGGCAGCAGGGCCCTGCGATGGGAATGAGGTCAGGGAGCCCCTGGAGCAGGGGCAGGGCTGCGTGAGTGAGGGGGGTCGAAGGAAGCTGCAGGGGCAGCGGGGCAGATGCCAGAGTACAGGCGTCCCTTCAGGTGCCAATCGCCTCCCTCCCACGGGCCCCCACAGGGGTGAGAACCTTCCAAAGTCGGATTTCATGCCAGTTTGGCCTCCTGTGCCATAGTACCATTTCTCCCAGGGCCAGGGGACACCCCAATACAAGAATGACCATAGGGCTGCGTGGTTTTCCTGATTCTCCAGCAGTGAAACAGGTGGGTGGAGAGCAGGACCCACAGATCCTGGTGTGGCTGGGATGCCTCCCCCGTGGGTGTGGAGTCCAGTGAGGAGCACAGCCAGCCAAGCAGGTGGTCAGGGCGGCAGCTTGTCTTGGAGGGCAGGGCACAGAGGGTACAGCCGGAGCCCAGACCCTTTCCCAAGCACTGGGGGTGTGCGCTGTCTGCAGATGGCCTTGGTCCTCCCTTTTGGGGAGCAGCCCTTTGGGGAGCAGTGAGTCCTCAGACCACCACTCGCCTTGCTCCAATTTATCAAGTACACGTCTGACTCCTCTCTTGGCAAGCAGACTTCGGGGGAGACAGAGAAATGACCTTATTTCCCTTGTCATTAAGGCTGAGCAGGGACTGAATTAGCTAAGATGAAAAACACCAGTGGCTAGCTTTGTCCTCATCCCCGGAGCTTATAATTAGGCAATCATTTCTCAGCTCTGGCTCATCAGCCTGTGCATGAACCTCACATAATAATTACAGATGCGCTTTAGAAACGTGCTGAGTGTCTCCTCTGTGGTCTAAGCCCAGCCAAGTCCCAAGCACTGTTTTAAAGGGGACATTCACTGTTGGCCTCTTTCCTGGACTGATGCAGAGCCCCTTGCCATCTGCGTTGTTTGCTACTGTTGGTTCGGGCTGCTTTCAAATTCATTGCTGCTGCTTCAATTTCTGAGCTTGCCCTGTGACCTTGATAACCAACTCTATTGTGTCCACTATCACTGGGGTTCCCTCTCAACCTGTGCCTGGGACCCCTCTAACCCTGGCACTCTCCCCAGGGTACAGTCTCACTATGTCCTCAGGGAGCTCCCAATGCTCAAATTAACAAGAAGAAAGCTCTTAGCATATTGTCCTTTAGAACCATCCATGTTGTCTTCAATGACAGAATTTTATTCTTGTTGTGACCTAAAAAAGCCTACCACGGTGTATGTAAACCATATGTTCTTTATCCATTCATCGGCGGAGGAGCCCTTAAGCTGTTTCCATATCTGGCTATTGTGAATAACAGTGCATGACGAAGAGTGGATTGCGATATTCTTACCACTGGCAAGGATAAGAGTGCTAGGTGAAAAATACGTGGACTAGCCGGATTTAATCAGTCTGCAATGTTTGCATGTATCATAACATTACCTTGTAGCCTGTTAAGTATATATAATTGTTACTTGTCCATTTGAAAATTAAAAATGAAAGACAAACAGAATACAATAATGCAACTGGCCACTCAGCCTGTTGTATTCCAGTGCCCCTGCGGGATGTGGAGTCTTCCTCCAGCTCTAGGAAATGGACTCACTCAGCATCTGCACAGACTTCCGGGGCCCTGGCTCTGTGCAGGTGGGGAGCATGAGGAGAGGGCGAGCTGTGCAGAGCAGAGAGGAAGCAGGACCGAGTTGAAATGAGCTCTGCATGGACCGGTGACACCATGGTCTCATCTGTGTCATGGAGGCCACGATTGCTGCCTTACACGCTAATGGGTGCTTGGGACTCGCAGCAGCAGAGATATTTAAAATACCCGGTGTTCAGGGATGTGTAAATGATCAAGAGTTGCGTACAAACATGGGCACACTTACAGACATACTCACATATTTTGTAATGAAAAAGAAAATAAAGCGCTATTGGCAAATCTTGAGAAATTAATGTTTCTTCTGCTTAAAAAAAAAAATCCTGTTTTTTTCTCCCTTTCCTACCTACCAGCAGGTAAATTGGATTTATCAAATGAGTCAGTCAAAATGAGATTAGTAACTTACTGTGAGTTTCCTAATATAAGGGCCCAGTGTGTGGTTTTGTGACTAGTATCAGTGCCTATGTGTGTGTGTGTGTGTGTGTAATAAAATTAAATTCTTATATCCATGCAACATTGCAGGGCCTTTTTATATGCGTTCTCCTGTTTCACTTGTACAGCCACTTGGTGAGATATGCTGGATTATTTTCACCTGATGGATGAGGAAATGGCCAGGGATTTAGCTCAGTGGTTCTGCCACCTGCCTCGCAAGTGCAAGGTCCCGAGTTTGATCCCCAGTACCAAAAAAAAAAAAAAAAAAAAGAGTATCTGAGGGATGAGGAAATGAATCTCAGAGAGATTAAGGGATTTTTCCAGTCACATGAAGAGTGGATGAAACAGACAAGGTTCAATCTCAGTTCCCATGGCCCCACATTGGGGTTGACAAACACATACACATAAGTATATACTAAAATATGGGCAGAAAAGTAGGCCATGGTGATCTGTATACACATGTAAATCTCTACATAAATATCACTTATTTATAGGTATGTAATTATAGGTGTATCATTTTATTTATTTATTTATTCATTTATTTTAAAAAATTCTTTTATTGGTACATTGTAGGTATACAACACATTTACATTTCTCATTGGGAATTTATACCTTTACATGATGCATCTTGGTTCTTATTTTT